ATAAATTCGTTACAAATAGAATAGACATAAATTCAATTGGTAACACTCCAAGATTGAAACATATCTTGAGCTAAACTATCTCTAAATGCAGTCCACACGTTTGATGTCCCAACAGAAGTGATAACGTCCTCATCGCCGGTTCCATTGTCTTCATCTTCCTGAAAAATATGTGCAGAAACTATCAAAAGGAGGGGAAAATATGTGCAGAAAATTGCTATGTGCAGAAAATTGCTATGTGCAGGAAATAGAATTAATGCTGAAAAATGTGCAGAAACTATCAGAAGGAGGGGAAAATATGTGCAGAAAATTGCTATGTACAGGAAATAGAATTAATGCTGAAAATATGTGCAGAAACTATCAAAAGGAGGGGGAAATATGTGTAGAAAATTGCTATGTGCAGGAAAATATAGTTGCAGAAAATTGAATGATGTGCAAAATTTCCTAGGTAACTCTAGTAATCAACAGAGTCTTCCTTCAAGAATGCTTATTGAGCTGTCCAACAGATGCCAATCAGGCATCCACTACACATATTTTGGACCTTTTATGTTTACATAAGTAAACAACCAACATAATCTTCCACAACGTATAAACAACCAACATAATCCATATATTATCAAGTAAAACCTTGTGCATAAACATTTTCAGTTGCATTCTTAAATATTGACTTGATTAAAAAATTTGGAATCTCCTTAAAAGGCTCAGATCATGAAGTCATTGTCCTTTTTATCAACAAACTATAGGCATATTGGTCTCACCAGAAGCCTCTCCATCTCATCTATGATATGGTTATCTTCTATTTTTCCCCTCCATTAGCAAAGCCTGAGGAACCAAGAGGACTCAGGAACAAGTTGGAACCTCAACCCTCACATACCAGCAAGTCTTGCTATATAGCTAATTACTATATATCCTCCAAACTCACTTGAGAGAATGCCATAACAGCAAGCACAAATAAACAGAACCATAAAACAGCAAGCATAAATAACAATAGCAGTTTTTTAAAGCTTCATAAACAGAACCATAAACAGAAGCAGTAGCAGTTTTCATAATATGAAGTAGAATGATAGATGGAAAATGAAAGTAGTAGCAGTTTTCATAACAGTAGCAGTTTTTCAAAGCTTCATAAACAGAACCATAAGCAGAAGCAGTAGCAGTTTTCATAAACAGAACCATAAACAATAGATGGAAGATGAAAGTGTTCGATTGAGTAGGGTTGAAGATGAAAGCAATACCTGTTCGAAGATGAAAGAAACTTTCGATCGAAGAAGAAATCATCCGATTAAAGATGGAAGCGTCTGATTGAAGATGAAAGCAGCTTTCGATCGAAGAAGAAATCGTCCGATTAAAGATGGAAAACACAAAAGTATTATTGAACAACATGAGTAATTGGAGTAACATACATGAAGTAATACAAAAGAGAACTGACACGATGTTGGTTGAAGAAGCAGACATAAAACTGATAGAATAGCAAAATGAGAAGGATCAAATAATAATGTGCAAATGACCCTAAATAACATAGAAATTTTTTCAGTTAATCACACTAAAAAGAAAGAAAAAAAGCATAAATACATTTTTCAGGCCAATATGATATAAGAAATAACTTTATRTATACAAGAAAGAGTCTAATAGGCAAGCAACAAGAGGCACATAAAAGGTCACATTGCTCATCCTACTACTACTAACTGAGACATAAAAACATTGTTTTACCAAAATAAAAACACCTTTAGCATAACATACTAACCGAAACATAAAAACATTGTTTTACCAAAATATAGAAACATGAATTAGCAAGTACTGATTATAAAAAGCAACAAAGACAATCAAGCRCATTTATGTTTTTTAAGTTATATGAGATACAATCATAGACCAATATACATTACCTTAATAGGAGAGGAATTCATAACCAGATGCTCAATCAATAGTAAACCCTCAAATAAAATGTCAGAATTTCAAATTTTACAAATACAATGGTTACAAATATTTATTATTTACAAGTGTAGTGTTTTATTGGGATTTCAATAGCTAAGGCATCCAACTACGTCAAATTCAACAACATTAAGCGCTTAATTGTAAATGCTTACAAGTACAATGGTTACAAATGTTTACTTAAATGCTTACCTAGTAAGCGCTGAAGTATAAAATTCAACACCATTACTTACCTTATCGGGTAAGATTATAGTTCATCAAAATGGCATTGTATGCAACAATTTTCCCGATAAGCGCTAACCGGGTAAGTGTCGTCACATTCACTTACCGAGGATATAATGGTTGCTAAGGACATGCTAGACCGTATAAAACGACAACAAAAAAATAACATCAAAATGTATAAAAAACCACGAGAACTCGAAGTATAAATTCACAATATACTCACATAGATCCAGCAACAGCATTCCCTAGAAAAAAAACATAGTCCTATGTTGACTCCAACTTCAAGGCCCAAAGCACGACCAATGAGATAGTAAGACCCCCCCGCCCTAGAGGTGAATAGATCAAACAGTAAATACCAGTATAAATTTCATGCTAATTAAATATGATTATACATATTTGAAGAAGCTATATTTCATGAACAGCGTGGAGAAAACAATTGCCATAATAATGCACATTGCATATCCCTTAATGCTGGTACTTACAGAAGCCTATGCAAATTCAAACAATAGGCAACAAGGAAAGCATAAAGTAATAAGTCTCCACCTTCATTGCACCATTAGTTGCAATTTCACTTAATGATACTGCATTCAAGAAAGAACAAAATCCACATAATGCAACTACTGCCAGGGACCCACCTATGACAACCATGCCAACAATACTGCATTTCAATTCTTAGTATGGTAAGAAGTCCTGCACATATGGTCAGGGAAGATTTGAACAAAAATGAAGAAAATAGAAAAAGAAGCACTGATGATTTGTATATGCGTTGTGAATAAAAACCAGGCAGAGCATTCTACTTAGGATATCATGCAGGATGGTTTAAGATGTCTCACCTGAAAAGAAAAAAGAAAAACAGATCATAGAAAGATGTGAGTGAACTAGATGTTGAAAATGACTGTATTATCATCTTGTGCTAAGCTGGTAAGTGAAATAGATGTTGACTGAATCAACACCAGTCACCAAACACATACGTAGAAACCGAAGCATTATGCATCTAACCTATTACTTTGTTTAGTTCCACAAGTGTCATTTGATCTGCATCAAACTTCTAGCACAAATATATACATAAAAACATAATGAAAATTGTCAAACTGGAAACAGAAACACAATAAATTAAAGAAACTAAATATGAATATGAGAAACATCTTCTTAAGAATGTAAACATCTTTTGAGTAAACTTCATCAACAAACAACAACTATAAACAACATTTTAGTATAATGTCATTAAAAAAAAGAGTAATACAAACCCTAAGATCATTACCTAAATAACCCCTATAATCAAACCCTGAAAGAAACCCTAAAATCATCACCTAAATAACCCCTATAATTAAACCCTCAAATAAATCCTAAATAAAAAATCTACACTAAAACGTAGAAAAACCTTGAATCAAATCTAAAATCAAAAAAAGTTATAGAAAGGCTAGATCTGGAGGAGTAGATCAGTTAGTGAAGAACAAGAAAAACTTATAGAACAAAATCTATTCTATAAAATCAAAAAAGTTATAGAACAAGACCTTCAAATGAGGTGAATGAAGAACGAATAAGAAAAAAAACTTACGGATCATGGATCTGGCTTCGAAAGCTTTGAACGGAACATTGTTTCTTCTTGGTGGATGTAAAAAACGATTTGTGAAGAACGGATATATCTGGTGGCGACGACTGGATGCTAGATGGTTTTCCTTGTTTATTTCACGATCCAGACTTGGGTTTCTCTGTTAAGAAGGAAGGGTTTCATGATGAAGAAAGGTGGGAGCTGAAAATAGGGTCTGGGGAGTTTTTTCTGAAGAAAGAAAGTTTGAAGCATTCCTATTTGGTGGTGATGGTGGAGGGGTTAAAGTCAATGCATCAATAAGTTGTACATTATGCTTTATAACTTGTTATTAAGAGTTTTCTGAAATTTATGCATAAAATGGCAGTACTTTGTGCCTTGTTGTTTGTAATTAAGATAAGTGTCTAAATGGTTATCTATGTAGTATATATATATATATATATATATATATGAAAAACAATTATATGTGGAGGTTTCATATAGGAAAACACTCAAAGGTAATGAACAACAAATAAATCGACGACCTGGGTTGTAATTGGTCCATGACGTTCGGATGATTGCATCAGCGCTACAGTTGCAACACCTGCGAACCCGCCGGGTTAACTCAGCGTAAAGAAAACCCATTAGGTCAAAATTATTTTTTACCTACTGAGTTGAGAGTGAATGAATACTTGATGGTGGAACTAATTTGTGATAGAAAACAAAGTTATTTATTGGGAATATAGGAAACTTGTCACATCGTCACTGTTTAAGTACAAAAAAAATAGAAAAGTTCGAACTAGAAACATTGACAACAATAATTAATCAAGCTAGGAACATTGACAGCTATAATTAATCAAAATATAACTACATTTTATCATATGGATAGAGTGCTTTAATTCTTTCTATCGATCTCGTGTATTTTTCAATGTCTTCTTCATTCCACCTAATATTTCTTCCAGTCTCCCCGCACGCAAGTTCGAACCATGCATCATGGGTCACTTTTTCCTCTTCTTTAATTTTTTTTCTTGTATCAGCAATCAAACTCTGCTGATGCTTAATCTGTTTTTTTTTTTGCATCAGCAATCCATCTCTTCTTCTCGTTCATCTCATGTTCAATCTTCTCCTTTTTGGAACCAAGCTTTGCACGCTGTTCATGTAGTATATCCAATTTGAGTTGGTATTTCTTGATATCCTCCCTCGAATAATCGGGCATTTTCAATGATAGTTGACTTGTTATCCATTCTTCTCACATCCTCTCCCACTCCTTGTCCGTCCTTGAACATTTAAAATTAGAATTGGAAGAGCTTTCATTCATTGTTATAGAGAAAATAGGAAAAGATAGCAAGTAATAAGTCTTCAACGTCTTCCATTAAATAAGGATGGATATAAAATAACACTATGACACGGTTGGTCCCTGGAACTATAGTAATTTACACTTTGGTCATGGCAACTTTATGAGTCGATTTGACAACACAATGACAAATCTAGATGTAGGGGCGATAGTACATAAGTAGGGGGTATAGGTCAGGCTTCTTTAGACGAATATTGTAAGCTTTAATGATGAATATTTCAGACACGATTTAACAAGTCCATGTCAACTTTATGACCCGATTTGACAACACAATGACATCTCTAGGGGTGGGGGCGATAGTACATAAGTAGGGGGTATAGGTCAGGCTTTCCGGATGAATCTTGTAAGCTTTAATGACGAATATTGTCAGAAACGATTTAACAAGTCCATGACAACTTTATGACCCAATTTGACAACACAATAACAACTCTAGGGGTAGGGATGATAATACATAAGTAGGCGGTATAGGTCAGGCTTTGACGAATCTTGTAAACTTTAATGACGAATATTGTTAGACACGATTTAACAAGTCCATGGCAACTTTATGACGCTATTTGACAACACAATGACATCTCTAGGGGTAGGGGCAATAGTACATAAGTAGGAGGTATAAGTCAGGCTTCTTCGAACGAATGTTGTAAGCTCTAATGACGAATATTGCCATACACGATTTAACAAGTCCATGGCAACTTTATGACCCGATTTGACAACACAATGACATCTCTAGGGGTGGATGCGATAGTACATAATTAGGGGGTGTAGATCAGGCTTTTCGGACGAATCTTGTAAGCTTTAATGACGAATATTGTCAGACACGATATGGCAACTTAATGACTCGATTTGACAATACAATGACAACTATAGGGGTAGGGACGATAATACATAAGTAGGGGGTATAGGTTAGGCTTTCAGGTCGAATATTGTAAGCTTGGGTAGGGGGCGATAGTGTATAAATAGGATGCCTCGTGAAACCAAAAATCACAACTTCATACCGACCATATTAAATCTTATACAATTACTTGTCCACTTCTTTCAAGAAATGGCTGGAAACCCATCATCATCAAACCCTTCGCCTTCTCAAATCATGCCTACCAGGATGAAGAAATCCATAGAAAAAACTAAAGCGGAGATCAAGGAGTCAAGAGGAAGTGATCGAAGAGAAGAAGAAAACTATAAAGCAATTGCAGAAAGAGATTCGATCTGAGGAAAAATTTGTGAAGAACATAGCAAAAGGGTACCACGTGATGCAAGAAATGATCAATGAAAAGAAGTATTGGATTGAATGTTGCAAAAACTTTATCCAAAAGTGAATTAGCAAGCATATTATGTATTAATGTTGTTGTTTTCATGGTAATGTTATGTATCAATGGTTAATGTTCATATATTTCTACTCTCATCTATTTAAAAGCTTTTAAATCCATTACATTATATTCTACTCTCATCTATTTAAAATATTTAATAAAAGCCCCTCATTTAATTTGTCATTTTACAATCTACATTATATTTTTCGAAAACAAAAATTACTTAACATTAAAATTCAAATAGTTAAAAACATTACAATAAAAGGTTAGTGTAGAATAACTCTTTTGAAATTTTTTGGCTCCACATTTATTACTTAAATCGTAAGTATCAAATATATAGTCTTGTGTAGTATCAGGTTGAGACAGACCATAATCGATTGTTCGATTAACTGATCTTCGACGATTACTTGAACTTTCGAGCATCGGCCTAGGAGCTGGCATCAGACTTGGACAATCATAACAAAAATTTCCACTCTGGTGGCATCGACTGCAAGTTTTCACTATTGGTTCCTCATCTCGTGACAGGATACGATCGCGGTTGCATGGTCTGCTAGAGTTTTGTATGTCCATGGAAGGCGGTAGGATGGTCATACTTTCGTTGGGCAACACATATTCATCTTTTGGTGGAAGGGGATTTACTTCCTCCTCGTATGTTGCCCGATAAGAATCGGAGTTGAACTAAACAGAACAAAATTGACTGCAGTCTTGAATATCAAAACTTCGAGCAACATATATTACATGACAACAAGGTATATCAAAAAGTTTCCAGTGAATGCATGTACAAGTCTTAGCATACAAATCACACTTTCTGTTCTTATACCTGTCATCAACTTCAAACAACAACTCGCTAATGGGATATACCCTCCAATTTTCCTCCGCCCAAGTTGTCGTGGCATTTATCATTTGAGCTGCAAATTAATGATAACATTAGCCTATGTTACATAATCATACACATTGTTTTGGATGGTTTCATTTACCTCTGTTATGTCGATGTATAAAATACCATTGTTGTAATGTCGCTCGATAAAAGTCAACTAAAATTGTTATCGGAAGGTTACGTGCAAACTGGGTTACTGAGTTGATGGACTCGGAACTATTGGAAGTCATTGCACTGTAACGCAAACGAGAGAAGTGCGATCTTACCCATATAGTGTAACCAACTTTCTCAAGATACTAAGGGTGCGTTTGGTGCGCAGACAGGACTGGATATGACAGGACGGGACAGGACAGCTGTTCAGTGTTTAGTAAGACAGGACAGGACAGGACATAACTGGTTAAAATGACCAATTTACCCCCAACAAAATCGTTCCAAAATCAATCTTAATTAAAGGCATGCCTAAGAAATGCATTCTGGTAACAGTGGGATCAATAGTCAATAAGGATTTGATCTTTTTGTTGATAAAMCCAGGAATAGAAAAACACAATTGCATCAATAGTCATAGTTAAGCTAGAACATGCATTCGCCCCAAAAAAGATGAATCAGTAGCAAACATGAATCAGAAACAACAAACAAAATGCAAATCGAGTAGAAATATGAATCAGAAACAACAAACCTAAATCGAGTTATGCAAAATCAAGAAGGTAGGGTGCGATGGTGTACCTGATGTAACAAACCCTAAATCGTTCAAACAACAAACAACCGATGGAAAGGAAATCGTCGAAATGAAATCAGGCGGACTGTCGGACTGCCGTCGCCGGTCGCCGATTGATGAAGGAGAGGTAGGGTGCGATAGTGTACCTGATGTGACAAACCCTAAATCGTACAAACAGCAAACATCCGATGGAAAGGAAATCGTCGAAATGAAATCAGGCGGACGTCGGACTGCCGTCGTCGGTCGTCGGTCGCCGATTGATGAAGGAAATGTAGGGTGCGATGGTGTACCTGATGGAATGGAGGAGCGATGGAGAGGTAGGGGAAGGTGGGGAAGGAAGCACGAGATGTGAGGGTAGATTAGTAAAAAAAACCTTGTTCTACTTAGTTCTAGGGGGTAAGGGTGAACACCCGTGTCCCATCCTTGTTCATGTTAGTTCTACTTAGTTCCATTTAATAACACACCAAACATGGGACAAGTGTGTCATGTCCTGTCCTGTCCCACCCTGTTCCACGCACCAAACGCACCCTAAGCGACATCAGGTAGAATGTGCCACATCAAATCCATTGTAGCTTCAAAGTCT